GGGGAGGAGGCGGACGATGAGCGCAGCGAGCTCAGCCACATGGAGACGGACACGGAAAGCCGGGAGGGTGCCCGACCCCGGCCGGGGCAGGCAGATGGGGGAACCGGGGATGAGGACAAGGGACCCCTCGGCCGTCCTTCCTTCAACTCCCACCGCCTGATCCAGTGCGACACGCTGGCCCGCAGAAAGCTGGGACGGCCCCGGCTGGCCGGTGAGACCCCCGCACCCACCGGAGAGGACCAGGGCTGGACCTCCCCAGGTCGGCCCTCGCTGCGGGAACAGCTCCGGCAGCGCCTGCGGGCCTCGGCCGATGACATGGGGGTCCGTTTGCGTCGAGCCCACTCTCCCGAGACCCGCCGCAAGAAGAGCAGTTGGCGCCGGCACACCGTGGTGGTGCCCGGTGGGCTCAAGGACCTCAACTTCAACGAGTGGAAGGAGCCACGGGGGCTGGAGAGGTCCCCGGGACCCTGCCGCGACAAGGACTCGGGGCTCAGCAGCCTGGAGTCCACCAAAGCTCGACCTCCGGCACCCACCCCGGCACAACCCGGTGCTGCCGGCGAGGGGCCGGCCGCCAAGACCCCCCCGGGCAGCCCCGGCCCCCCGGCCCCCCTGCGCTTCCCCCAGTGTCTCTGACCTCCTGAGATGCCCCCCCCACCGCGGCTTCCCTGCCCACCCCCCCCTTTCAGCCAGTGTTTAATTTAAGGACTCACCTTCGTTCTTGTATTTAATTGTGCTCTGGACAAGCTGCTGTTATTTAACGAGTCTCGGTGGCCCCCCGTGCCGCGGGTGGGACAAAGCCATCTTGTCCCCCTTGCTTTGGGGACCGGCAGGGTCCCGCGGTGGTCCCGTGCCGCAGCCTGGCCAGTCCGTGGTCCCCCAGCCCCCGGGCAGTGCCGGGAGGGTTGGGGGGGGATTTGGGGAGGGGGGCTCATGGGGACTGTCCCCACCCCGGGCGGTGGTGGCCCCGCTGTCCCAAACCGCGGCGGCGTGAAGTGCGGGCACTTCCCTGGGTGCTGCCACCGTGGTTGCCCTCGCCGGAGACCCTTCCCGAACCGGGGACCCTCGGTGCCATCGCACCGACAACGGGCGCGCTTTGTGCCGCGGGGTCTGGGCTCTGCGCCGGGGTGACCCTCGGCGTGACGGATGGGGTCCCCAAAAGGCTGGGTGTTTGCACGGGAGCGGGTGTGAGGAGAGGGGCTGGCATAGAGGGGCACGCTGCTGGGGGGGGGACACACGCGCTGCTGTCCCCTGCGTCGCCGTGGGCCACAGCCCCGATCCC